AGACTAGATTAGCCTCAGGTCATGTAGCATTTGCACTGAACAGGCAGGAAGATTTAATGTAACTTGATTTGCTGTCAGTATCAATGTGAAAGCCAAATAAACACAATGACTACATAGAACAAGTTTGTTTTACATGGTTACAGTAATTTAAAAGAAACCAGAAAACTAAAAGTGGACATAATACAATGACATCCTTTGTGCACGGACCAACTCTATAGCCATAAATCTAATATTGGTTAAGGCACAAAATTGAATCAAGAAAACCTTTTGAATTACTGATGTTATGGATTTTCAATAGCCCGACCCAAATGTGCTCTTATCACTACTCTATAACCGTGTCGCCCACTTTTACCCATTAAAGTGATTAAAAAAGACCAATGCAATTAGGCCAAAGACAAAGATCAGATAAGTCCTTGTGACGTACAGGTTATCCACATGGATTACAGCCATTATGCTGCACGAACAATGAAAAGGAATGCATTTTCAAATGTGTTTTAACAAAAGTAACTGATGTGGAAAATTCAATTCCCTAGATAAACACACTTCACACAGCTCCGAGAGAGTGTGTTGCGCTCTAGGCAGACAGTGGTAAAACGAGATCCTCTTTGCACACAAACACAAGATCCTCTTGACACACAAACACAACGTGTCTGAATGTGTTCTAGTGTGAGGCTTCTGCCTCATGGTGTGAGGTGCTTTTTTCATCACAACACCCTTTCACCAAATGTCAATTGGCAAATAAGCCCAGCCCACCCCCTAAGAAGACCCGATTAGGCTGACTACTCTCTTTGTGAAACAACTGACACAAGAAGATGCTAAATGAAGGCAAATAAAGAATTATAGACCTTTAAATGTTTGCCATCTCATACAATACTAATCACTTGAAATCCTGCAGGCACACAGATGCAGGTGAAGACACAGGAATACACATGGCAGACCAACAAGATCTATCTGCATGACAGTTGCCTTATTTATGGTTTACTTTTAGCACAAAAACGCAGAGTCGGAGTGCCTGAAATGTTATCATTCTGTCATCACAATTTGAATGGAGTCAAACAAGTAGGGAAAACATGCTAACATTTCGTCTGTGAAACAAAAGGTCAGCGTCTCTGACAAGATAAAGACACAATGTGACCAATGGGCCCCTCTGGAGTGGACAGCATTCCTTCAGTGACTTTTGAACTTTCCCTGCTGAAGGCTCTATTATTCTCCCTTAAGAGATTGTTATTGTTCCAGTTAGGCCATCAACAATGGCTGAGGTGTGTATGTACAGTCTGCAGCTGAACGCTCCCCTGGTTCCCATTTTGTCAAATGAACAGGCCTAAGTGTCAGTCATCACATCACTGATGCTCTGTCAGAGAAGGCAAACAGTAATGCAGTCCGACACAATGCATTAGGATATATAGAAGACATCATAGCTGGTATGGTCATAGGGTGTTGGTGGTTCAAGTCCCGGCAGTAACTGAATATGTTTCTTAATATGTTTCCTGTCTAAAAACACATTACATTAACTGAACAATGTTTTAATTGATGATAGGTATGAATGTGAGTGAGACTGGTGGCTTCTCTCCACATGCTGAAACTGAAAACATAAATAAGGGCAAAAGAATAATGACATTTTCTTTTACAGCATAGAGTAAATTTAAAGCTGTTATTTAACTGGTAGTCACTGGTAGGGTGTTGGTGTTCATACTGTCGTCATACTGTGGATGTATATGGAGCTCAGTGGAGCTCTGGTCTTGAGCTGTGACATCACCACAGCCTGTGTCTGGCCACTGGCAAGATCCATTTCTTACAACTGGTAGACAACCAAAAGTTCCTAAATTCACATGCTTTTCATATCGTAGGTAAAAGGTTTTCAGTATTGTGCCTGGGATTTAAGTGAAATGTTATGACTGACACCCTCAATATGTATCAATATAATCTCAGTCTATCGCACACTGCACGATAGGTTTTAAAAATATCAAAGTAAAGATTTACTGTCCTGCTGTATTGTCGTGTGACACATATCTAAATGAATAAATATATGTTATTTACATTCTAATTTATTGGCATTTCTACCACATCAAGCTCTGCCTCAGGCTTTAATTTGCTTCTTGATGAGCAATGACCAAATTATGTCTACGTGTCTCAATAGGACAGCTAGTCACTGGGTTTAACCCCACAGGTGTCCAGAGTGCAAACCCGAGCACATCAAAAGACATCTTTAGGATGCCCTTTATGGTCTACCCGTTTGGTCTGCTCTGTTTGCATGTTATGTCTTCCTCGATGCTAAATAGAGCCATCTCCTTAAAGCAGGTACATACTACTGTGGAGATTTGTTATATAGACTAACAAAAATAAAACTGCACTTGTTAATACAGTAAATGCAGCAACTTAGTGTCCTATAACTATTGCCTTTGAATATGTGCAAAATATTCAGCACACCTGTTTAGAAACCAATGTATTGTGGGAATGTTTTACATAATGGGATCATCTGGGGCGGATGTAATCATTATTTCCTGCATTTAATGGCTGACCTTAGCCCTGTTATTGTATTAATGAGTTTAGCTTTAATAAAAACCTGCAGGCACATGCTCTTGCGTGGCATATGGTTGCACAGCTTTGCCTCAGACAGTAATGAAAAGCCACTTCAACCGGCTAATGAGAATAACAATGTCTTTCTGATTTTTTACAACATCCAATTTGTGTCCAAGACCCATGCATGCTGTCTGTCCTAAATCTGCACTTTTGGTCTATCTGCACACTCTGACTGCCTTCCCCCTGCTGCGTTCACTGTCTTGTGATGTGTTCCTGGAGAACCGCAAAGGAGTAATCAATGAGTCATGTGTGCTGATTACCACCAACTCCCTATGGGGCATCTTCAAAGAGCACAAGAGGAGATGAGGAGAGGGAGTAGCATTGCACTCTGTGGGGTAATTACAAGTTGGGGGCTTCGTGGTTTCTACCCCTTCTCTATGGAGAGACAGGCTTAAAGACAGAAGAGCTAACAACTCATTCAGGCTTGTTAGCGCAGTGGGAGGCTCCGCACAACCTCTGATCACCAACTGGTGGTGAATGCCATCCAAAATTACACAAATCCCCAATGAAACACACACAAAAAACATGTAGCACCATGTTTATTCGCTGACAGTAACAGATAAGGAGAACATGGGCAGAGACAAAAGATTTGGAAGAGAAAGACAAGGAGACAGTTTCAGTTTTGGTGCAGCTGAGTACACGCCTATCTGTCCCAGAAAAACAAGTGTGTTTAAGTGTTCATGAATTAAAAGGGCCATAAAACTAGACAAATACACTTAAGCACTGTCTGGTGGCCCTGAGGCCCTCTCTGTTTCCCCATTACTCCCTCTTATGGCCTGTCAATTATACAAGCATGTCTGTGAGCATGTCTGTGAGCATTTTCACCAAATGAAAGTTAAATTTCCCAATCACATGGCCTATAATTTAGTCTTACACTATGGAGACAGGTCCTATTTAACAAGATTTGTCAGTTTAACAAACACTACACTTCATTAAACTTTTCCACCACCCCCCCAAAAAAATGCAAAAGCAATACAAAAGGTGTAATTACTGTTATTACAGTCAGATCAACAGTTGGATTACAGAATCCAGCTTTTTGAATGTCCTTTCTATTTAGTTGTGATCCTTTGGGGTTTATCTATGGTTGACAGCGGCAGTGAATTAGTTCTTAAAGCAATGGTTGTGTGGAAAGTTTCGCTGTGTGGAGACTGAATGGCTGATGATGTCTTTAGGTTAAGACTTTAGTAAACCCTGTCTGAATGGTAGCAAACATAGAAGGGCGATCAGAGACAAAACAGTCATTACCTTCTTTTAATCAGGAAGAATGACAAAATGTGTGTGTTTTTGTGTGATTTATTTGCATGTAACCTCTGTTGTGGTGTATACAGGACATTCTCATTCTGCAGATCTTGCAGGCCTATCAGTTGTGGAGTCCTAACATTTAAATCTGAATCTATTTTCGAATAAATGTTTACTCTTATATAATTTAAAATAATTTGATTCACTGCAAGTCTTTCCTTTTTACGTTAAGTGCAACTATATTTTGCAGAACTATAATTATTTTTCAGCTGTGACAGTCTTATTCCCCAACAAGACAAAACCTATTATCTGATACTGCCCTCTTGAGGACAGACTGTAGATAGCTGGTACAGCAGAACAATGCTGAACTGGAAATGTAATAGAATCGGTACTATAACTACAACGTAAATTAGGTAGTTATTCATAAATAATGTTCAGGATTATACCATATAACATTATCTTATTATAATTATAAATATGACATTAATTCGAAGCCATGTTGGATTCATTAAAAATATATTTTCTTCAGATTAGAATTTCGGACTTCTATCATCTTGTCAGGCCAGCCGACCGTATTGCCTGGGCCAGAGAGAGAGCAGATCTATTTGTGTCTATTGGTAATAATGGTGTTTAGAGAGTCTGGACAAATTGCTCACATTTAAGCATGAATGGAGTGTATGTCTGAGGTTCAAGTTCTTCAACGGGGAATTTGCGACGTCTGGGGATCTTGTACTGGTACTGCAGGAGTTTTCTTTTCTTTTTTTTCTTTTTCTCTTTTTTTAATTTTTTGTCAATTATTAGTTTTTTAATAAACATATACACTGGCAGGTTATAAATGACATAGGTATAGTCACCTACTCACACAAGTGGGTGAGTGAAAGCTGCAAGAATTAGTACACGCAGTTTCTAAATTATATTTTAAAAATCCAAAGAAAGAGGGGTGTGACCCCACGTGTTGAATTGAGGAATTACCGTAAATTAGGAAGGAAAATGAATTACTTGTCATTGTGACACAGCACACTACTGCACACAACAAAATGTGACCTCTGCGTTTAACCCATCACCAAAGGCAGTGGAAGCCCTGGAAGCAGTGTGTGAGGAAGGTGCCATGCTTAGTGCACCTCATTGGTAACTTGGTAGCTGCGGGAGTCGAACCACCACTGCCCCTATTTTTTAGGAAAGTAATTTAAATTAAGCAAACAATGGAGTGAAAAGGGAAACGGGTAATTTGTTCTGCATTTTAAACAAGGTTTCGGTTAGTTTTTGGTATTGTACTGAGCTTTTTTAAGTGTGCCAAGATTTCTGAAAAACTTTAAATAGACATTTGAATTTTGGCAAACCACTTCAATAAAACAGGGAACTAATGTAGTGGAGAAAAGAACCTGCAGTCTGCCACATTACTTGTCAACAGTTTCCATGTCGTCAGCCCCTAAATGCTAAACCCTGGAACGTGTCTTTGTAGTTAGGGTAACATGACTCTTGAGACAAGCACTCTTTCAATCCCATGCCGAGTTGACTATATCCACACGCATAATATTCCAATTTTTCCTACGGTCATGAACGCCACAGTACGCCCTCCTTTTTCCTAACATCCGGGCAACTTCGGCGCAAACCAGTGTGTGGAAATTGTGGAAGGAGGGCAGAGGAGAGCTGCGGGAAGGCGGATTGATGACAGCTGTCACTGTGAACAAAAACACTACCTATCTTTGAGAGAGAAGCCGAATGGCTCCCCCCTAAACCTATGTGAGAAAGAGAACAACGGACTAGCTCTGTAACGTTTACAGGAAGGTGTCGTGGAGGTAAGGTTTTATTTTTTTGGTTGGATTGAAACAACTGGAGGTTCAGTGCCAGTTTGCCCTGTGTCTCCTCAACAGGGCTGGGATTAGCTCTGCTGGCTACCCGAGCTAACACCCCTGCTAAAGGTCCAGCTAGCTCTTTCTCCTTGTGGTTTTTATTCGTTGCTAATGTCTGTGTCTCCTTGGGGCGTGTTTGTAATTTTGGGTTATTGTGAAGTTGTAGTTTCAGTAGAAGCGCAGCAAGTGGTTCTTTTAAGGGTACCTTTCCTATAGGAATATCGTTGAAAGAAATGCTAGTGTGCGCCTTTACAGTAGCTGGCTAACCTTAGCTAACACCGAGGCTATTACATGGAACTGGCTGGGGTTAACCCTACATTAAATCATTACAAAAGCGGGTTTAACCCGTTATTTACAATTTCATATCCTTAAAATACAGACTAATTGGTGTGCTGTTTGTTGTGCTAGCTTTGTGTGTTAGCGGGAAAGTAACCGGTGAAAGTTCAGCTGAGCAACTGAAAAGTCAGTAAAGTTGGTTGATCGTGTCATGTATTAATAAATATGATAACATAAAAAACATAGGTCAGTATGGTTTTTTTTAAACAGTTTAATGTTGCCCAGTGTTTCAGTGGTCTTTTTAGTTATTTATTTGAATTTAATCTAATCGTTTATTGGGTCACCAAACGTCTATTAAATTCGCTCACCGCTCTGTTGGGTCCTGACTCAGTTAGGTCGTACTCAACTAGGCGTGTACCCTCTGTCTGTACCAGTCAGCTGAAGTCATGGTTTGACACAGACCTGTCAACTTAGTCTGCCTGGATCATGATGAAGATGATTACAACAGCTGTTTTAGGTAGATTATACTACAAAAATAACAATGGGCTCTTACAAAAGGAATTCTCTTAGCCACTTTTGTAATGAGCTACTAAACTTAAAAGGATTTAATTTCTAAATGTACTGTAAGTGGCAGCAATGCTACATAGAGGATGGCAGCTTCTGTAAACAAATAAAGAAAATATAGTGGGTGGGATTAAATGAACAGGAGGAGGCTGGATATTCAAAGTAGTAAATCTTAAAAAAAAACACACAAAAACAAAAAGGCAAAATTTTTATTTTAAGCCATTCCAACAGGCATGTGGACTGAGTGAGGATATCATATCATGACCTGCTAATAGGAATCATCCTTTCTAGGCATTAAATTATATTGGCTTAATTAAATAAATCATCTAAATATTTCACTTTGGAAATAACTATTATTAAAAGCACAGTATGTCACAGTTGAAGCTGGTTCTTGTCAGCCACTGCTGTTTATCCAGAGCCCTTGGAGGTGCCATACATGAATGATAGCCTGTTTTTTCAAGCATGGATATAATAGATAAGGACTGTATGGGTTACTAGAGAGATTAGACTGCATGAAACCATACACAGCAAAATTGAGTTGAAATTGGAGATTTCCAATAAATTGGAGTCTAATGCATACTTCACTTTGTTTACAGCCCCATTGTAGTTTCGTCATTCTCTCTTTTTCTCCTCCAACAGACCACTACATATATATTTTGGCTGTTTACTGAACTACATCACTGGTGGAGCTACAGTTGCACAGGCAACATGGGGACACAAGGCTCTGGTAGAAAGCGTGCCCCTATGAAAGATCGTTTTTCAGCGGAGGATGAGGCCTTGAGTAGCATTGCTCGGGAGGTAAGTTTACAACAAGTTACATAAACAGCATTTCCCATTTTTGTTTATATGTGGACAAACTTGTCCAAATTGTGTACTCCTGAATTAGTGTTAGTTTGCTTTTATTTGAGGCTGATTTTTATATTTTCTCTACAATATACATTTTGAACAGTCTGTCAGCTCATTTGTAACTGTAGTGTGCATTACTATCATTTGTAAAAAAATATCTATAATCGTTTGAAGCCATTGTCTTTGTCTGTAACAGTAGTTTGTCTAAGAACCCTTACTGTACCTGCTCAATGATAAAAACTAAAGTAGAGATTGTATTTTGACCATTATTAGTTGTGCTTTTCATTGTGTGATATTTTCAAGAATATCTAAAGGTGCTCTTCAAAACAGCTTGTTTGAACTCTACTCTTGTTTGAAGACAATAAATAACAAATTAACTGTTGTAATTCACAAAATAGTCATACAATTAATTATCATCCAGTATGCTTACTTATAGAAGTATAAATATAGTATATTAAATTTAAATGTTATATGTCAGATTTATAATTGAGAAGTGTAGGTAAGTTATGTAAAATGTAAATGTTAGTATATTAGTTATTACTTTACATCTCAAAGAAGCTAAATACAGTTAATGTAAACCATATTTGACTAATTGAACATTTGGCTCAGCAGTTAGATGGATTTTTTATATATATATATTTTTTTTAAATGAGTAGGCATCATACAGATTACAAGATTAATTAAAATGAATGTCTAAATAAGACAATGTCTTAAAACATCTAATACAAGTTTATGGTTTTGCAGTCTTTTAGTAAAATGGCTTTGGATAAATCATCTTTTTGAAATAAAATCAATAAGTAAATTAACTCGTGTCAGTTAAATACCTGTGAACTAAAGAACCACATATACCAGAACACACATCATTTTCCTTCCCACAAAACCTTATTTAACCACTAATTGTACTAACAGTACTGGTTTTGCTGTCAACTAATCATTTTGATTTGTGTGTAATGGTCAATGTTTTGACAGCAAGTGGACCTTGGAAACATACACATTTGTGGATGATCTGGTTTTGCAAGTCAGGGTTTCTGTTTAAGACACACACAGAGACAAAGAGAAATGAGAGAGAGAGAGAGTGAGAGAGAGAGAGAGAGAGGGGAACAGACAGACAGCTGGTTTGGACCAACACAGAGACTCACTTGAGTGTTTTTGTTTGGGGAGGGAGAAACATCAGCAGTGAAGAGAAGCTGCTTGGCCTGTAACAACTTGCCATGGGATTATTCCATTTTGTAGCACCGCAGTGCTGCCATTCTTTAGCTTTTTTACAGAATGGGTTGGAAAATATCCCAATTAGAGGCATTTTATGTTTTTTATCTTCAAAAAATAGATAAAAAGAATATGTTAATCTTTTTGGATATTTTCTATTTTCTACTGCTATGATACATAGTAATGCAAAGTGGGATAAATAAATTGTTCATTCACATTTGCTATGGCCTACATTATGAATAACCGCATACAGTATGTGCTGTTTGAAAGTTTTGCAGTGCCTCATTCTTGGGCACTGAGCACAAGGCTCCATTTGCTCTCTTTATAGTCATGCTGGCCGATCATAGAAACATGAGTCATCTGACCCTCCTAGTGAGCTCCTACATCTGAATCTCTTTATGGACCAAAGTACAGATTAGATTATCTCTACCTTGGGGGAGTTGGCTTTTTAACTTGTTGTACGTCACAGTCCACCCAAAGCAAACCTTTAAAACACTTCTGCTTCATATTTCCTATGCCTGGTTAAGAAAAGACAAACGCCCCCCTGCATGTGCCTGGCAAGAACTGCTCCTGAGAACGAGAGTGAATCTGAGCCTGCAACGTCACCAGCCTCTTACATTACCAGCTAGTCCGTCCCTTTGAATTCAGATGGCATATAAATCTGACATGGTTTAAGTAGTTCAATCAGATTATTACCTCATACCTGATGTTTTTTGGACTAGGATCTAACAGAGGTAATTACGTTTAGACAAGACACTATTGAACTTCCCATATTTTATGGAGGGGGTGTGATTGTGTGGAAGCTGTAGTTCATAGTCCATATGCTATTTGGTATAAACAAGTCATTATTGTTTAGAAAATTACACTTTATTTTTTTTACAATGAGGACAAATCAAAGCAGACAGGGCAATAACTATCATGTTGTCCTAACCGTTTGCATTAATGCAACTTATTTAATAGCTTTTATATTTAATGAGCAACTCCTTTCTATTTATGTTTTGTTTAAAGATTGCATAACATTAGCAAGGTATTAGTTTAATTCACCATTTGGATGTATAATGTTGTAAAAGTCTTTCAGTTAACAGTTCCAGAAACAGTTGCAATACATTACATTTAAAATTACTATCAACAATGTATGATGAGTCACCAACATGTTTTGATAGTACTGAAGTAATGTGTGAAAAAATGCTCTGATTTAGATTCCTAAATGTTTTGGGTTTTTTGCACCAAGGAGAATAAACGGTTTAGGTGGTTTTAGCCATGACTGGTAGTTCCAGGAGATTTTGTGTAATAATTTTTGAATCATTTTTGCCTAATCCCTGAGGTGTGTTTGCTCAGGTTACTCCTCAACTTCTCCATGATGTGGCTGCAGGAGAGCCGGGACCTGATGGGCCGATCTATAGATAGGACACAGACAGAGAGCTCAGCTGTGGTGCTGTGCAGAGCAGGTCATGCTGTCAGATAGCTCAACAGGTGCAGGGAACAGGGCTGGTCTCTCCTGCTTTTTTGTGTAGCCCTCACAGCTTTACTTCATTTTTACCTTCTACAAACATATTTATAGAATGTGAGATGTTTTGCTAGCATAGATTTGCCTGCTACGTATTAATGCCTCTGTGCCTATGCAAGATCAATGTCACCCACTTTAGCAGATGCTCAACAAGCAGTGACCAGAGTGAGTACCATTAAAAGGGCAAATGTGTGGTGAATTTCATGAAACCAACACTGACTGTCATTTTTCAACATTTGAAAAATGAAGATATTTTTCATTAATTCTACCTATTTCCTTAATGGCACAGAAACTCCTTTGAATTCAAAACATTGTGCTGTGTTCTTTTTACTGCCACCATGCTAGACAGTCATTTGGCAGAGAGATAACTTGAAATAAACTCCTGAACTGTCCACTATAGTTTATCCATTAGCTAATACTGTCTGTGCTTTAGGCACATTACATTGCATGTTTCTCCCATACTTTGGCTCACTGCTAACGCAGATACCCAGAGCAGAGAAAAAGGCCAGTGATGAAAAAGTACCAGCCTTTTTCTTTGTCATTTGTGGAATATGGTTTTTACTTGCTGCATCATACATGACGTTACTGATTATTAGAACAAGCAATTTGTTCCTATGAACAGTTATCTAGTAACTAAGGACGACATAAACCTCTGCTATTTTCTGATTGACTTCTACCACCAAGTGTAAAATACTTTGGGGCTGAGGCTGAAGTTAAGGTTAGTTACATGATGTAGAGTTTAAAAATGGTTTCCCAGCATGGCTATGGTTAGGAGATTGTTTACTCCAGGCTATTATTGAAATGGGAACCATCATTACTCCCAGGCCTTCTCTTCTGGCTGTGCAGATAAGAAGTTACTGGAATGCTGACAGTGTTTGTCTGCAGTGAGATACTCAGATGCACAACATGTAGCAGTATTTATGGACATTCTTTTCCTCAGAGATAAAGGGTTGGGCTTGTTGGGCAAGTGTGCCATTCTTCAGCATCTTGTGTTTTCAAGTATGCATAGTATGTAATTAGTAATGTTAATGCAATGGGAGGATAGGCTAAACTATAGCCCTATGTGGCCCCTGAAGGCAGGGCCTCAAATCATTCCTTTCTGCTAAATAACCTTGTAAAATTAGCAGTTGACAGTACTTTGGCAAATTGTTTTACGCAATTATTTGTTTGAATCTATTGATAATATAGCCAAACATTGTTTGTAGCACCATTGTGTATTTTTATTAATGTGTCAAAAACTGTGGAAGAGACATATCGTATCACTGTTCAATTATTTTAGTTTTTTATTTGTTTTATCTGGTTGTCACAGTGTGCAGCAATACGATTGCCTTTCTGACACAATATACTTCAGTACATCAATAGGATATCACTTTAGCCTGCCATTTTAGCTTTAAGGTTTGTCTGTCTTGTTAAAAATAAATATAAATGTAACCTTATTTCATTAAACAAATAATTTATATACAGTACATTTACATGTTCGATGCACCATGGAATTACAGTAGCACCCAGTGTATCATATCTGAAGTTTTCCTTCTCTCATAAAACTATCCTTCCTCAAACACACTCCATGCATTTTTATTTTTAGCCATGTGATATTCTTTTAATATTTTCTACTACTGGCTTTCATGCATGTTTGTGTTGTGTCACACAGGCAGAGGCCAGGCTAGCAGCAAAGAGAGCAGCTCGAGCGGAAGCCAGGGATATTCGAATGAGGGAACTCGAACGACAGCAAAAAGAGGTACACAGTGATCAAAGTCAATAATGTCATTACTGCCGTGATCCAATGAAAAACTGATCTTTATCTACACAAATTAAAATTCCTCTACTGTCACTGGTGTTGGTGTTACACCAAAAGAAAGGGAAAAGTGCTGCATATTCACAGCTATCCACAGACAGCATTTATATTCATGTAGTAAAGACCACCCACTTTTTAAAACATATTTTAGAGTGTAATAGGATTGTATGTCTTTATTGGAAATCCCCTTCTCTTCAGCTTTCATACCACTCTGGTAGCAGCAGAAAATGGGGTCAGATCCATCAGTGGATGGTAAGCAAGAAAGAGAGACTGCTGCAGCCTCACAGTCCACTAACAGCCTGTTGTGTGCCTGAATCACGGTCAACCCTGACCGTTTAGATTTACTTGACTCACAGACTACACTGTACCCACACCGAGGAAATAAGCCTCTGCAGTGTGTTTGCTTTGGAGACACCCAATTGTGTGAGTGTGTGTGTGCAGGCGCATGTGCGCGTAGACCAAGCTTTGGACTTTAACTTTATTTAGAATAGCTGAGTCTGCATGCATAAGCGTGGTTTGGATGTGAAGCTGTAACTCCTCCAGTTACCTCAAAAATGGTGGACAGCTTTTAAAGTTTGTGAGTAGATTTTTGCATTGACGTGATGTGAGTTTATGTTGGTTGATTTAGCAGTGCGTGCTCCGATATAAGGAACAAAAAAAAGTCTGGCACGTCACTTGTCCTTGTATATCATAAATCTTTAGTGCTGTTTTTAAGGAGTGTATATATTTACATTGGAGCTTGTTGGCAGATGTTGCATATCAGAGTCTAGTCTTTGCATAGCCGGTTTTGCATCAAGCCTCTTTACTTTCACTGTACTCCTCACCACCTTTCCTTCTTGACTCCAGGCTGACACTGAAAAGGCCAGAGGTTCTAGTAGTAGTAGGTCAAGCAGCCGTCATCGTCGGGTCTGTATCTTCCTCACACATTTCCTCTTCTCTCTTTTTTTATTTCCTTGTCATTCTCCTTAGTTCTGCACTCGAGTCTGTTTCACTTTCTGTCTGCATTTCTGTTGTGACACCATGTTTCCACATTAACAGGGGCTGGATGATGATGTCACATCAGTCCACAGCTACAGGGTGCGTAAATAATACAGTCCTGTCAATTATATTACGCCTGTATTCCCACAGGGTTGCTGTGTAGAGAACATTGTTCTTTTCTGAAAAGCACATTTTCTACAGATTCAGAATATTTGTGAATCTTTGTCTGCTTCATTTACAGCTTCTTCTGACTTTTGCTTTGTTTACTTTTCATGTTTGAACTCTGTAGTCCACTTCATCATCAGTGCGTGACTTGGGTTGTAGTAAAAGTCGGTCCAGTTCCCGCAGGAAAGATGCCTTGGTGCGTTTTACGTGTGCATGTGTGTGTGAGAGTGTATTGTATTCCTTTGGAGGCCGACCCAATATCTGGATCCTCAGCATGTAACCAGAGTTCACGTTTTGTTTTTACTCAGCAGAACTAACTTTAATTTCAGACAATGTGCCTCATCAGCAGCCACAGTTTATGGAAGCACAGCTTTTCATATGAAGATTGATTGTTTGCAACCTTGAGTATCTTAAGTTGTTTGTTAGATTGCCTGTTTGTTTTTTTCTTAACTTGTTTTAAGTCGGTTTGTATTGTTTTTAACATTAAATGACTTTATTATAAAATCATTATAACAGAAAGAAGAGAATTTAAGGGCCAATGCCTTTTGTTTGCAAAGTGCAAAATGTGGTCTTTGCTACAATTGAAAAATAGCAGGTTGCCATGTGCTATTTTTGTTTAGACATTTAACCTCATTTAGAGTTTCTACTTTGTTGAGGACATTAGGGCTGTGACAGATTATTCTAATTGATAACATTTTCTAATTGTTAAAAAAAATTCTTAAACCAACTGTTTACTTTCAAAATAATAATTTATTTAGTAATTGTTCAGTAATCAGTTGACATTTTGTTGCAGCCCTAAAGTACCTAGAGGTAGCTGTATTTTTTCATATTTCCTGTTCTCTCTTCAGTCTGATGGCCTCTCCACTAGCTCCGCCCTCCGGAGTTCCCGCTCTACTGTATGTATTTTGTGTTGGTCATCCATTGGTCACTGCTTTTTCCATTCTTGTACTGCGTTGACTTATTTACATGTTTTCACCCGGGCTGAACAGAGTTCTGTGTACAATGACCTTCATGGCCTTAAAAGGTCTTCATCCAGCTCCTCAAAGAAGGACCTGCTGGTCAGTGTTTCTTAGTGTTTGTGTCTTTGCCACTGCCTAATGCATGGAGGTGGTGATGATTAACATTTTTGGCTTGCTGTGATTGAATTTACAATCCACTTAATCCAGAACAAATATAACTCTTTGTTAAATCACATAGAAATGGTAACCAGTGCTGGAATCGATACAAACCGGCCAACGAGAGTTTGTTCAGGGTTATATTGTATGTTACTATTCCTCCAGGCTGGTCTATACCATGATCAAAGGAAATACACCAGCCTGACGAAGACAAAAGCACCACCTCTACCCTCCACCTCCACCTATCAGCCTCGGGTCAGTCTTCTTCTGAGTGCTGGGCATTTTACTTTTTATAGAGAAACATTAAAGTGAGATCTGGTAGAGTTATCAATATCTCCATGGACTTGGTTGTTTGTATGTTAAATTCAGTTGTTTCATAGTTGTGTAAATGTTGTTGATTGTCATCAAAGCACATAGTTCAAACAGAAACCTGACGGTTGTTCCTAGTGCTGTGTTGCCATGTTGTGGAAACCAAAAACTTTGTGCTGAGACACTGAGCTCAGTCTACAAAAAAGAGGATTCTCCCTGTACATTTGAATTTGTGTAAATGTTTTGCTGACTGACAATAGCAATGTTCCTGTGAACAGAGCGAGTGTCACCTCACCTCATCTGACTTTCACACTCAGCACTTTCAGCTACAGGGTCAGCAAACATTCATCCTGTTTCCACTGCTGGTTCTCTCTCTCACTCTCCCTCTCTCTCTGTCTCTCTCTCTCTCCACTTTTTATTTATGTTGTTGCTCTTCACACCTTTCCCTGCTTCCCTGCTCCCCCAACAGGCCACTTCTTCCTCTTCCTCCACCACTGGTACAGGGTTACCTCGCAGCTACAGCGTGGTCAGTTTTTGTGCATGTCTCAAGTTAAACTCAGACCGTTCATATTCAGGTTGAATATTATGTGTAGATCTCTATATATAGCTTCCAAATGACCAAAAAGTTAAGTTTTTATAAAATAATCACAGGGACAAATTGATGATGACAATTTGATTGTTGAGAACAGTAATACTGGTTATTGCATGTTTCAATAGAGCCTTTCACTTGACATTGCTAGTGCGCCAAAGATTTAGGCTCCATCTCGTGTTTTGCTGAGATCTGCATTGTCTCCCATGTGTGCCCTCAGGCCTCTATTTATGACAATGCCGGCCTTTACGGCTCGGGCTACAGTTCAAAAGCTGTAAGTCTTCTGCACGTGTGTAAATCGGTTTCTCACCTGCATTCTGCAGTGACCCCTTCCTCTCAGTGAAACCCTGACTTATCCTTACCCTTCCTTTTCCTCCTCCTGCACCTCCTCCACCCACTCCCCTTCCATCTCCTCCTCCTCTTCACAGCCCTCTGAATACAGCTGGTACTCCTCTGGAGCCAGCTCTACTCGCACCAGCCCTGCGGTGAGCACCCTCTAAATCCCACCCTGCATGAAGTCAGCTGACACTTCTTAAGCCTTTGACCATAGACTGTGTATAAGAATGGGACAGAACCATCAGCAGCTCCAGGAAAACAGTGTGTGCTCTGCTAGTTTTAAGAAGTATTTATGTTGCCAGACTGGAACCAAACTCTGTTACTTCCGAAACCACAGAGCATTTCAGGAGTTTTTCCAGAGCCTCACTCTGCAACCATAGTCTGCAACAGAAATTGTTAACTCAATTCTATATATTTATAGTCTATGACATTGACCAATGTTAGGATCCTTTTGCTCTCCCTTTGCCCTCCTTTCCCTCAATACCACTGCTTCTTCCTCCTCTTAGTGATAATGTTGACCACTCACAAAAACTAGCTACAGCTTAAGCTTGAAAGAAAAGTTGTTGTGGACCCTAAACTGCATGTGGACTGAGAATTCCAGATGGCAGACTAAGACTTTTTGGACATCGCAATGAACTTTTGACAAAACTGTGAGTTAGAATTTTGTCGCAACTGTGTTAGACTGGATGTGAATTTTGTGAATATTGATAATCTTTAGTAGTGTTTAATGATTGTGGTTTGAATACTGTGTTATAAAAGCTAAGAGGCATCTTCTTCAGTTACTGTGGTGTGATGTGACTGTGTTTTTTGTGTGCATGTGTGGGTGTCTATTTGTGTAAATGTGTGTGTGTGTGTGTGTGTGTGTGTGTGTGTGTGTGTGTGTGTGTGTGTGTGTGTGTGTGTGTGTGTGTGTGTGTGTGTGTGTGTGTGTGTGTGTGTGTGTGTGTGTGTGTGTGTGTGTGTGTGTGTGTGTGTGTGTGTGTGTGTGTGTGTGTGTGTGTGTGTGTGTGTGTGTGTGTGTGTGTGTGTGTGTGTGTGTGTGTGTGTGTGTGTGTGTGTGTGTGTGTGTGTGTGTTTGTTCCATTCAGTCCTCAGATGATGACACTGTTAGCAGCGTGTCCCAGGAGCGCTACAGCAGAAGCCGTAGGGACAGCGGGGTGAGCTGTGAAGAATGAGTCAAACAAATCCTAGACTGATAACATTGAGGATAAACCTGCTTTATTCCTGTCATAATGTTTTATTTTTCTGACCATTATGAGTCATCTATGCTATCATCTTTTGTCATTGTTTTTCTTTATTCCTCTCCCTCTTTAACTTTGGCACTTCTGTGTCACTTCATCTTCCATTTCTCCAATAATCCTTGTCATGTCTGTGTGTTCTGTGAGCAGTCATCAGACTTCTCAGATATAAGTGAGTCGGCTGCTGATTATTTCAGCCGCTCCAACAGAAGGGGCAGTATTGTGTCTGATCTTGATGATTTCAGCATTCCTGATCTGGACAGTGTAAGTGGCTAATTTAAGCTTGCAGCAGTGGACCGAGGAATGCAGTGTGACACCAATAATTTGAAATTATTGTTTGAAATACATCAGATGCATGTCCAAAAAAATAACTTCTAACTTTCAATATTTGACCCCCACTCTTTCATATTGTTTCATAACTATCAAAGATGAGTTGAAGGTAACATGTAGCCCCCGTGGTACACCGTTTAACCCAAATAGTGTCTGTTGTTTTAGAAAGACCAGTGTGATTTGCTAATTTTTAACTTCATGTGATGTAAAAGTCCACGATGGTCTGTGAACATGCAGCACATTGTCCTGACTTGAAGTAACTTGTCTCCTAGACTATCTGAAATCTTATTTAGATGAAGAACACAAGTCCATGCATGACCACAGAAACCTAAAAATGCATGCAACTAACTTTTTTTTTCTTAAAATTTCAGCTGGATGAGAAATGTGACAAACAGTATTCAGATTACAGTCGGGTGAGTGTTTTATGATTACTACTATTTATACTAGGTGTGGTGTATAATTGTTTTTTTCTTATTTTCTTCTGTATATTTCTGTTCTCTGTGTGAGTGCATAATAATATTAATACCAGTATTGACTTGACAGTTCCATCATCTTTACCCAAGTTGGGTTTTAACTACAATCCAGGCATTTTGTCATTGCCAGTATTATAATAACCTTTGGAACAATATTTAATTTAATTTTGGTAGTAGAGCAGTGGGCAAAAAACCCTGCCATTAAAATAAAGGATTTAATTAAGAAACATTTTGTTAAGTTCTATTTTGATGTGTAGTTTATTACTCAGCTGTGTTCCATTAAAAACAAAAAGGTTGATGAATATAAAGACCTAAAATAAACTGTTAAAGTTGTTTATTCTGGAATAAACTACACTTAACATCAAGAGGCAAAACCCATTTTTGACCTTTGAATAACAACAGTAAAAAGAGTGTAGCCATGGTGACACATCAACATCAACAGGCATCTCTGTCCTGTGTAAACAGCCTGTGGTGATTGGGAGCAAGTTTGTCAAGCTCATTACCTAAACTTCAAACATGTTTGCAACAGTGCCTCCCTGAGGATCTCTCAAGACTTCTCATGAATTTATTTATCTTTAATTACTTTTTTCATTCATTTTTTATTTTGCAATACCAGCCATCATCGCGATGTGCCACCCCAGGCTTGTCGGCAGCCACCCTGGCATCACTGGGGGGCTCCTCATCACGCCGTGGAAGCACAGACACGGGTAGCGTCTATGAAGCTGACAGCAGTCTGAGTGAACTGAAGGTAAGGTGTATTCTGAATGTTTGACACAAACTGATAAACAGCTATATGAATATTCTGTTTACATATATGTTCACGAGTGCTCATGTTTATTAATCTGAGTTATTTGTGTTTATTTATTTAAAGCCACTGTCTGGGGACATCTGTCTCTGCCTATGGACACAGCCTAGCCTCTGTTCTGTACTCTCTGTTGTCCTAAAATTCTGCTTAATCTGCTTTTATGATCTACCATTCTTCCTGTATGCATGGGAGGTCTCTGAATGTGACATGTCTTCTCCCACTGTTCCTAAAATCTGAGCTGTGTCTGTGCCAGCTATCTGTCTTTGAGGTGGAAGCACGGATGCCTTGTTTTCTCGCCTTGATATCCCTCTGCCCCATGATGCCCCAATAATTCACCCAAAACAATTCCATTCATTTGCTCTACAGGATATCTATGAACTAAAGGACCAGATTCAGGATGTAGAAGGGCGGTACATGCAAGGGCTTAAAGAGCTGAAGGTAGAGGGGCTTGAGCTCAAAGCATGCATTCTTTTGTTCTCTGGGAGCAGCATGGCATCACTAACCCTCTATCTTCCCACTCTTACCCCTCTGTGCCCCCTACTGTTGCCCCTAACAACAAAACTATGTCTTTTGTGATGCCAGTCTGGATTGTGTAATCTTTTACTGTTGCATGGTCATCTTTTACTTCCTGTTTTTATTCTACTCTCTGGATGCACTCTGACGTGAAAACCCTCTCACATTACAGAAGTGCACGGACGTGCAAGAAGAGTAACACACACCACCTGCTGACAGAAAACTTGTGAAACTCCTTTCCTTCTAGGCTGGCATTGCCTAATGTTTGAAGGGTCATCTAGTTTGACCTTTCTCCTAGAGTTTGTAGTTTGTTAAATGAAGCAGTCTACTAACATATCTGACACCTTGATCTTTGTACAGTTTGATTTAGTTGATGCACTTAAGCTTTATGACTTTGAAGGTTTTACACATCCTTGCTTCCTTTTGCCACTCCTGAAAATGAGCCACAAGATTCTATTTTCATCTTTGACTGTTTTTACTTCATATGACTCAGTGATAAAATTGAAAATATGTACACATGGAGCTCATTTTATTTTAGAACGAGTAGCAGTTGATTTAGTAGTTAGGAGCATGTTTGTTGAGTGAATGTGTTTTTAATTTTCTTAAACACCCCAGTGCTCACCTGTTGCATGTAGGTGAGCGCTGCTTCCAAAAGTATAAGTCTCCTAATAAACAAACTACTGCCCACGTCAGGAGTCACTCGTGGAGGTGGAGGAGAAATATAAAAAAGCCATGGTATCGAACGCACAGCTGGATAATGACAAAGGCAACCTCATCTATCAAGTGGACACACTAAAAGATGTCATTGAGGAGATGGAGGAACAAATGTCAGAGATGAAGAGGGAACTGGAAGACAAGTCAAAGGTGACAAATTATTCTAGAGAAAAGTTGCACTTTTTTGGTTGCAGAGAAATTACAGATTATAAAGTCAAAATTGATTTTTTTTTTTGTTTGTTACAGGAACTAGAACGGCAAAAGCACACATGTACTGTTCTGCAGCACAAACAAGAAGAGCTGAAAGAGGGAATCCGCCAAAGAGATGAGCTTATAGAGGTAAGGCTGTTTATTTCTTCCTCCAAACCTCTCCAGGGTCAAAGAATGATTTTGCAACAATTCCAGCAGTCAACAGGCGACAGCAGGTTACATTGGTCAGTTCATCAGTCGATTAGAGGACCTCACTCATACCTATTGTCAATTCAGAGGGAACAGTTAACTTAATCCTGTACTTTGAACTGTGGAAGGAATTCAGGATTGGAGTAACCAAAAAAACCCACAGGAGGAGAACTTCCAAACTCTATACCTGAACAGTGTAAGTTACCACTGGGATTCAAACTAGGGATCTTCTTGCTCTAGGGCAAGAGGATTTGCCACCCTTCTACTCTGTGGCCCTAATACTTTACCAGAAGGTAAATGGTTGATGCATGTGCAACAGCAACAGACTGTGGTTGAGTCAACAGATGTAGAGTTTGGTCCGAAAACCTACAGTAAGTTTTCAGTTTGAATAACCTGAACAGTCCGCCTCTAGGTTATCAAAGTCAGGTTTATCTTTAACTCACAATTGTTCCATTATGTTCTCCATTCCATTCCTCTCTCAGCATCATCTTTTCCCTTTTTACCCTGTTCACGTCTTTGTTTCTCTTCTCCAAGTCTGGCTATCATTGTTTAAAAATGGTTAAAATTAAAATGTTAGAGTTACATCCTAAGTTAGGCTCATAAATTCCATACTCCTTAATCACATTTCCCTTTGTTGTTAGCCAATTTGTTTTGGCTTACAGATTTCTATCCCTGCTGAAGGAATTTCTGAAGAGTGTACAGTGGCAGAGCACTGTTCTGTTTAACTCGAGTGCAGAGCTTAAAATCGTCCAAAACTTAAACTAAATCAAACCAAAAACAATCTATATCTAGTTTTTTTCCACTTCTTAGCATTCTTTTCCAACTTTGTCATGATATTTCATTTTCAAACATCCTGTTTTTATCTTTCCCTGTCAGTATGTGTCTTTTCACTTCAACCATTTTCTTTATATTTTCCCGTTCTGTTCTTATCCTGTGCTGTGTCGTCTTGTGTTTACCCAATTGCCGCTGCAGGAAAGCCAGCAAATGCAGAGTAAGTTAGATGCCCTGACCAGAGAAGTGTTTGACCTGCAGGAAACTGTAAACTGGAAGGACAAAAAGATTGGGGTAGGCAGTCCCACGTGAGAGGCAAAAGATGGCTGCACATTTTGGCCTTGTTCACCCCTTTGTTTTGCCTGTCTGGTTGTCTCTGCATGATGGAGACCCTGAGGCATTAGCACATTCCTGGACATGTCCATATTCACAGTGTGGATTTTTGCATGTCAAAGTAACAAGGTTTTTAGTTGTACTTTTTTGAGTTACAGTTAACGATGTGAGCTCACTGGCACTGTGTTAAATCTGAAGGCTGTGGAATATAATATATAATTATGGTTTCCTAAAAAAGAGTAATGGACAAATATGACATGCACGTCCCTCCTGTGGATCAGTTATTTTCTAAGTTCTTAAATTAGACTTTAGGTAGTGGAAGTTGTGTTGTGTGTGGCCTATTTTCCAAACTTTTCATTGTAAATTTTTGTCTGCATGTCTTCATCTCTCTGACCTTTGAGTTCTCCCTCCTCCTTACTGTTGCTATTTTCACACAGCATGTTAGTGCACGGAACCTGTCTTGCTGTTTCATTTGCTGTTGCATGTCTGTCTCAAGTCTCTCCAACTTCTGTTGTCCTTCTTCTCCTCTCTCGTGTCCTGTCTCGTCTGTGTGGCCAGGCCCTAGAGAGGCAGAAAGAGTACTTTGATTGCATTAGGAATGAGAGAGATGAGCTCAGGGATGAGCTCGCTGACATCAAGGAAAAGGCCAAAGCAGGAGAGGTAGGTCCTTCAAATCCCAGGGGGAAAAAATCAAAAAGATGTGACTCAGACAATCCCCTGTCATTTTCCAATAATGTATAAAGATGGTTTATTTCAAACTAACATTTTTATTTTTTATTAGCGTGTACATGGTTGTGTTTTTGTTGTCCCTGATGATGTAACCAAACATGGGCATCACCATGCTAACAGCCTTGGAACACACTACTGAAATATTATTGTCTTGCCCAAACAACCACAGGGAATTACTTTAGTTTTTGCCTTGGGTTAAAAATTGTAGCACGAAGCAACATCACAGCTCATGGTTTATTGAGAAAGAAATGTTGTTGATTTAATGACCATATTTTAGCAGCAGACATGTTGGAACAGAGCTCCTCAAAAGTCCTATCAGGCAAATGCTGACACAAGCTGCTTCAGGTGCTGATTTTCTTTCCTGTTTTAATTATTCAGACCCAGCTGTAGCTGTTAAAGTTATTTTTCTCATGATTTCAGTGCAATATTTTTGCACTTTATGTATTATTCATTTTGGTTTTCTGTTAGTTGGCCATTATCTTAAAAGTTTGACATGTGTTTAGAGATCTTTTTCTGCAAACCTTGGTTGTAATGACCTGTTAATTGATTTACTGCTGTTTTCTGTCTGGTGAACTGGTCTAGTAACTGTCCTCTGACCTCAGTCATAAATAACATATTCCACCCAGTGACAAACCTGGGAGAAAACATCAGCAGTTTTGTCACATTCTGATTGGTCAGTCTGGCACTGACAACAAGGCTATGTTAAAAGTCACTAAAATCACTTTTGTCTCTCATTCTGATGATCTGTGGGATTGTGGCAAGTTCAGAAAGTTGCTTTGACCAGGTCTTCATGTCCGATTGTTTTATATTTGCAGCCATGCGATTAGCTGGTTTGCTCTAAAGAGTGTGTAAATAGGTGTACCTAATCAAAGGGTCAGTGAATTACATTAATAATTTGTTAAACATATATACTGCTTACAAAGTTTTAAATACAGTAGCACTAAACTATAAAATTGCAAATAAACTTTTGACCTGTGTCACAAATTACAGGTCATAAAATTGTGAACATCCAAAGTTGATATTTTTTCCACTTTTTCCACTTTTCCAACTGGGTTCTTCTCACCACAGAAACATGGGCTGGTCATCATCCCAGACGGTACACCAAATGGAGATGTCAACCATGAGTCTGTGTCCTCAGGAATCACTGTGGTATCCCAGGAGGCCGCCCAGGTGCTGGAGTCTGCAGGAGATGGTCCACTGGGTGAGTCAGAGGAGACCTGTCTCATCACCACTGAAAGCACAATGCTGAAATTGCTGTATCAGATTGTCTGACAGTTATAGTCGTAGCAAACAAGTATGATTTTACCACTGTCATATTTACATGCAGAAAAGTTAAAAAAGAAAAAAAAAAACAATTGTCCTAGAAAAAACTAATGTAAATATCTTGTACATACTACTGACATCAGTTAAAAAAAACTAGGACTCATCACTCATAAGGTCTTTGCCCCTTTATCACCTGCTCAGTCCTTGTATTATTTGCACACGTTTGATCAATGACCAAACTATTTAAAGCATCCCAAAGACTCACTGAACTTCAACATACTTTATCGTCCATGGAGCAGCTCCAATAACAATAAATAAAACCCTGGCAGCTGAAGAAAGTAAATGTAAAAGTGGAGTTGAACAAAAGATTTGAGTCATTGTTGGCCAGCAGCTGTATTTTCTACTTCTGCTGACTTCTGCATGTTCCAGGACTCCGATCAGTATGTCAAGGGTAAATCATAATTATCTGTAATAACTACCATAACTACTTTTAAACACACATAAGTACTTTCATCCTAAAAATGAATCTTTTGTTTTTACATGTTTAGCTCACTGGCACCAAGAAGCAAAGAGGCTGACACAACGGAACTGTTTCAATGCTGTGAAAAGCCTGGTTTTAATCAACAAACCATTGGCGCTGCAGTTTAAATTAGTGTCTTTTTCATGTCTAGATGTCAGGCTACGGAAGTTAGCAGAGGAGAAAGATGAACTGCTGGCTCAGATCAGAAAGCTGAAGAACCAGCTGGAGGAGGAGCGACAGAAACACACCAAGGCCGACAGCACGTTCACAGATGGAGAGAGGATGGAGAATGGTACAGACTTGCATTTGATCGAGATGCAGAGTAAGTCCGTCTTCCAACCACTTACCTGGACAGTTCTGAGATGATGACAGTCACCCCTGATTTTTTTTTTTTAAATTCTGTTTCCTTATAGGAGATGCCAACAGACAGATTAGTGAATACAAATTCAAGCTTTCTAAGGCAGAACAGGAAATGGGTACAATGGAGCAAAATGTAAGTGAAAAAGTAAATAGTTTAGGGAAAAATCAGGTCCCAAAACCACTGGTGGTCACACTTAAAGGTCTTGTTGGTTTTTTCAGATTAATAGACTTGAAGGGCAAGTGTCCAGGTACAAGGCAGCAGCTGATAACTCAGAGAAAATAGAAGATGAACTAAAGGCTGAAAAACGGAAACTTCAGAGAGAGGTGAAGATTCTGACTGTCGTCATCTTTGCTGTGAACCAACAGCAGGCTGGAATCTAACATCTGTCCTCTGTTCCCTTACAGCTGCGTACTGCTTTGGATAAGATAGAGGAGATGGAGATGACCAATAACCACCTAGTGAAACGCCTGGAGAAAATGAAGGCCAACAGGAACGCCCTTCTATCTCAGCAGTGAGACGCAGCAGCACCACAGAAGCCCTTAAACTTGCACCTCAGACCTCTGACTGCCATACTGCGTCTGGCGCACACTTCCACCTTCAGCTGTAATACTCTACTATCTGTAGCTCACCACAAATACTTAACACAATACTTGTAGCACAGGCAAAAAAAACACTTTCTGCTCTCTTTAAAAACCAGAAGTGATGGTTTTTATCTGGCGATCCTCTGGAATTTTGGGAGAAATAATGCAAATTTAATAAAGTTTTTGGGAGACAAATAAGGAATTTACACTACTTAATTGTCAGAACTGTGTACATCATGTTGTTCACAAGATTTTCTTTCCCTCTGGTCGGGTGCTTTGGCTGTACCTTTTTGTTTATTATTTTTCTTTTTTTTTTTATCATTATTTTGAGAAGTTGCATGAATGGGTATTAAGGCGATGCTTTTAAACAGTCGGACCCTCAAAGCTGCTCCTGCCCTGCGCCTCCTCTACTTCTCCTCACACAGTGAAGTGCCTTTTCACACCAGGAAATGGGGGAGGGCTGCACCGCTCCAAGGAAAAATAACAATAATAGTTTTAATAGGTACAGAATGATGTATTTAAAAAGAGGTGCAGTCAGTATTTGAAAATATAGAAAATCGACTTTGTTGCGGTTTCATTGACATTTTTGCAAATATTTAAAAGATTTCTTGGAAATAAATGTGTAATTTACAGAATTGTGTTCATTATTTTAGCCAAAGGAAACAGGTTAAAGATGGTAACTCCTGCCCCCTTGTGGGGTATGATGGTAATGTACTAACAACTGTAAATCAAGCAGGTTTGATTGTAATTTTCTGGGTTGCCTATTTTGTGTGGCTAAGACTAAAGTGCATATGGGAGCATCTGTACTGTAACATGAAAATTCTCACCAGGCCTCCATTCAGATGTAGTAAAACCATGACTTCCCAAAAACTTTAGAATGTAGAGGTTTTTATTCTACTTCCTGTTAAGCTTGGAGTTCTGCATCATTTACACATTTAAATAATAATGATTATTATTAATGATAATTCCACCTTTGGCAGGGATTGGCTGTCATTTTATGGCTACTGATGTTGTCATCTCCCCTGACGTGATGTATTATTAACTGAAGACTGTTTTTCCTTCTGATTAACACATTATATTTACAGCCCAAACAACATCAGAGGTTTAAAAAAATAGTAGCAGCATTCAGGACTTGTCGGTCATCGTATTCAGCACCTCTCAAACACTTTGTAGAGATCAGGTAAGTTGGCGATCTGCAGCACAGTTCCGTCCTCACTGAAGGTCTGAGGAGGACAGATCAGGTTTCGGAAAGCTTTGAAGATGATGTGCTCTGTTTTCCAACGCCAGGAGTTTGCCTCACTATCCTGAAACAAATATTACTCACCAAAATTATTTTATTTTTCTCCCCTGTCTGAAAGGAATGGTAGAAATCACATGCCACAGACCTGCTCCTCTCCTGACTCGGGCTCCAAGATATACTGCTTCCTGATGGAGTAGAACATACTGCACTCCTTACACAGGTCTCTGAAGCACTCCTTCTCACTGTCCCAGTTCACCTGCACAGTTAGGCCACAAAAACCTCCAGGTGAAGTTTTTGATTCCTGAAACTTGTCCTTGATGGTACTGTAAACAAGGACCTCACCTCAGTGGCCATTCGCAGTATGAACATAGGCAGACCCTCCATGACAGGAGTGTACTTGTCCAGCAGAAGGGGCAGACCTCTCAGATTCCCCTCCTAAAATGTATTAAGCTCAGTGAAGAAGCAAAAAAACAGAAAGGTTTGCAGATATCAGACTACCCCAGAGGTCTGCAACCTGTAGCTCATGGTTCGCATGTGTCTCTTCAGCCCCTTTGTATCAGCTCAAAGTAAGATGACATTTAATATTTGTAAATGGACCAAACTCCCTCTGACTGTGTGAATAGTCATAATACTGTAATATGCCTAATGTATTCAAAACTTTTGGTGTTGAAGGTTGCAGATCCCAGGACTAGAACCTGACCTGGTCTATCTCCAGTGAGAAGTAGTCCTCCAGCATCTCAGCTTTCCTCTTCAGGAAGTCTACTATGTACTGAGCCAGACCTTCTTTGGGTCCATCCTCCTCTGTCCAGCCACTCTCCTCACAGTCCAAGGCCAACATAGCCAGGTCGTAAAGTGGAGCTGGAGTCTGAGTACACATGACAAGTCATCATACATACATCATACATTATGATCTGTGTGCAACATAGTTACAATCTGGTCTGTACTCACAGACAGTCGGAGTACCCCAAAGTTCCCAAAGTCGTAGGTCATTATCTGGTAGAAAAGCTCCTGGCTGAAACAAAACATCACACATTTTTAAACAGAGCAGCAAAATGGAATCAGTGCAGTGTCCCATGTCTACAAGCTCTTATCCTGTATCTCTGACCTGAGTTTGGTTGTGTTGACCAGGTACAGTTTGGTGTGATGTTGGATCAGGGTCCACTGAGGATTAACACAGCCGACAAACGAGTGGTTTTGCAACATCTCTTGAAGACCTGGAGGAGATGGAAATGATGGAGACAATTTAAAACCATGGATGTTGTTTCTGAGTCACCGCTCAGACCGCAGGTATTTACTTCACCTTTGTGTGTGTTCTCTTTAATCTCAGCCCTCAGCTCTTTGATACTGGTCAGTTTTATGACTCGTCTCTTTGGCACCGCTGCAGCCGTCAGCTCTTCGTCTTCTTCCTGCTGCTCAATCCTCGGACGCTTCCTAGCAAGTAGTAATGCACAGTTATGAAATGAACTGTAGCAACTAACACAAACGTGCTGAAATGAAATTATTTACTCACTCTAGATAAACTAGGGCTATTGGAACTGATGTATTAATTAAGTTGTTTAATTTGTGAAGATAAATCTCAATCTCAATTCAAATTATAACACATTTTAACACTAGGGCAGAATGATGCAGTTCTTTTAGTGGAGGCTTCAACTTCCAGTCAGACCAGCCTCAGAGTACAAGGATGTAAATAGGTCAACCAGGTACAGATTGACTGACACAACTGTCAAATGAATTGTGAGGGACAGTAGATTAATTGGTTCTGTTGATGAGATATTTGGTAGGATTTACATTAATGGGAGGAAATTGTTAAGTAATACTTTTGCATAATTTTTCTTACATTTCTCTATGTTCATTTTTACATCATTTGGGTTATGCACAAAACCTGCTATTATTTGTCTTTCTGTACCAGCAATATACAGGAAGAAAGGTATTATTTAGTAATGACGATTTATCATGATAAATTAAGGTTGTGATTAGTCATTTTAATTGATTGAAAGCCCAAGGTTAAACAGTTCTTTTACCTCTGAGAATCATTTTTTCCGATGCCTCCTTCTCCCTTGTCCTTTGACACGTCAGTGAGCTCAGTCAGAGCAGCCATCATTTCGGCATCATCTGCCTCATTCATCTCGTCAATTTCGTCCTGCATGGTTTGGTTTTCAAGCTCTCTGCTGCTCGGACCAGGACCTGGTTCCAGTTGCAGGTTCGTCTTCTGTTTTGGCTGCAGAAAGGCATCCAGCTTCTGAGAGCGGCAGTCAGTTCTCACCATCTGATGAGCGTAAACTCTCTCAGTGGATTCTGCTGAAGTGCTGGAGGTCTTAGTATCGGTGCCGCCCGAGACAGAAAGTCCAGGCAACAAGGTCTGCATAGAAACATAGCACATGTTATGTTACATAGGAATAACAACAATATTGACAGAAATAGTTAATCAAGTTTCTTCCTACTTGGGTAAAATATGTACGTGAGGAGTTGGAGCCCAGCAGTTTGCTTTCGATGTGCCTCTGGACACTCTCAATTATACTGTCTTCATGCAGGAAATGAACCTCATGTTTGGTGGGGTGAACGTTCACGTCTATGTTCTGTGGGGCGATTTCCAAGCTGCAGGAATCAGATAGTTTAACGATATCACCAAGAGAGACATGAGTAAAGCCAATGATGTCTTCACTGTCCTCGGAAAAAGTTGGATTGTAGCAGTTACATTGATCGCTGTTGCTGTATTAATTGCTGATGAGTTTTACTTAAAAAAAAACACACCTGCTGTAGCCTGAACATACATTACCTGAGGTACAGAAAAGGGTGCGTTCCCTTGGGAAGGTATGCACTGTAGGCCGTCTCAATGGCTTTCTTCAAAGCGCTCGATTCCACCAGACGATCTTGGACACACAAAACATTACAATCAGTCAAACAAAGCACCAGCCAAGTTCATTTGTTGTATATTGTTAACCATTTTTGTTACTCATACGGTTAATGAAGAGGACCAGGATGCATTTCTTGACTGAGTAGTTTGCGTTGGAGATGTAGCCTTTCATCTTGTAAGCAAGCTTTTGATCCTCACAGCTGACTTCAATGAGCTCCCTGGAAACGACACAGACTTAGTTTTACAGGCAGTGTTTGATATGATGATAAGAGACCACAGGAACAAAAATCAGAGAAGTTATTCTGTCTTTCTCTGGTTAGATGGTTTATACCTGCTGACTGCGTTTCCAAACACCACTCGAATATTGTCCACTACTGATGCGTTTGGGAGAGTCCTCACATCGGCCACAGTTTCTCCTTGCTGTCCAATTAAATGGAGATGGTGAATTATACTGGTTTATTGTCTGGTTTGGACTAATTGTAACTAGTAGTGATTAATGATTAAACTACATGGGAAAAGCAAATCTTACCTTTTTGACACAAAGACTTTTTCCTGAATTGTGTATGGCATACCTTAGAAAAACATTACAATGTTACGCCATCAAAAAGATAAAATACAGTAAAGTACAGTAATTACTGTGGTTACTGTAAAGTACAGTAACCATCAAAAAGATAAAATACAGTAAAGCAAGAAACAAAGGCAGGGAGAGTAAAGTTCTGACCTGCTGACAACTTCTACAATCCGGGAGTGCTCTTCACTAGGGCTCTTCAAAGCTTTCCTCCTGGTGGACACATTATAGAAGAGGTCTTCCACCTACACACAGAGAGAACTATTGGACATCTCTGAAGTATGTCTGTATGTCTGTCGGTGACAATGTTATTGTCTTATGGACTCACTAGAATCTGTGTTCCCTGGTTGCCAGCACATGGTTTTAAAGTACCTTTGAGTTTTCCATCACTGTAGCTCCCTCTGCAGGATGAAAGAACAAGTTTAAATGTAAATCATCAGCTGGCTTTCTGCCTTCATAACTTAAATCCCATCAAAAAATATACTTTGATGTCAGATTGAGAACATACCTGTATGCACATTTGGCATCTGCTGTCTTGGTTGTTATTGTTACATGTGCAACATGACTTATACTCGCAAGAGCCTGTAATTGACACAAGTTATTTTTTTCATAAACATTGACATTGATGAATTAATCTCAAACCCAACCACGGTGCTCACCTCTCCTCTGAATCCATAGGTTGCAATGCCTGAGAGGTCCTCAAACGTCTGGAGTTTACTCGTGGTAAAGCGCTCACAAACTATGTCCATGTCTTCTTTCTGCATTAATGGCATCAGGAAAGCAACGAAGGGAAACTTAATACACACACGACCTACGTGTATTCACAAGATCACGTCTTTAAATCTATTCAGTTTAGACAACTGGGATGTCTTATGTCATTTAGCCACTAAATTTAGCAACACCATGGGGCATTTGTTAATATTGGTATTGATGTTACTGTACTCCAGCTTGGTTGTAATGAACAAAACAACGTGACAGGGTTAATATGCTGCATTTCAAAATATCGGGATTATTAGGTGTAACACGACAGTTACTTGTGTTTTCTGTATAAATACAAAAAGCTTCCGTTTTTATGATCATTACCCTTAGCAGGAAAATGTTTGAGTAAATGAGAATCAGTAAATTGATTAAAATGATTCCAATAGAGTGTTGGCCTGTCAGTTGGGATTGGCTGCAGCTGCTACAGTTTCTCTGAAAAGTACAGACAATTACAACTATTGACAACTCACCCTGATGCCAGTACCGTTGTCCTGGATCTGGAGGAGCTTCATTCCTCCATCTTTCACCGTCACCTGGATGTTGGTGGACTTTGCATCTAAACTGAAACATTTAAAAAAAAGTCAACAGCTTAGGTATCTGTGTGACAGGTGTTGGTAGGTGCCGTGTACACAACGTTGACATGCGAGACATTATCACTCACAGCGGTCAAAAACCTCACATGCGTTAACCTTATAACGACTCTGTAACGATATTTAGATCAAATACCAGTTTTCAATCATTTCTTTGACTGCGTTGGCAGGACGCTGAATAACTTCTCCTGCGGCGATCCTGTTCACTACAGTCTCGTCCAGTTTCCGGATGATTCCAGCCATAGTGATACCCCTTTGATAACCAGTTCCAGATCGGTTTTACATCAGGTTGTGACAAACAATCGGTTAGAGACGTTTGTATTTAAGTTATTTTAACAGTAATATTACTTCTTCTCCTGAAAATCCAAGAAAACAAACAGGCAGGCGTGCATGGCAGCATAGATTAGAAAAGTAAAGCTATCCGGCTCTGTCTTGAAATGACAGAGTATATAGTTGACAATAATAATGGAATTATTTGAAACGCTGCATTTAAAAACATTACATTACCGACATTTCACACCCCACAAACAATTTAATAAGGAACATGGACTTTTTTATAGCATATCTATACTCCAGATTTCTTCATTCAGTTTTTCTCTCTTGTAGTGATTCATCTTAAAATCTGTTTACGATCTTTGATAGTCTTAACGCGGGGAAAAGGCTCTCGTAAGAAACAGTACGCGTCCAACGTGAAAGTGGATTGGCTGTCTTTCTTCTTTTGTGGTGTGAAATGTAATGTAGCACTTTATTATTGAAGTAGCCACAGCGTCTTCTAGCGAGGACCTTAAGAATACAATCTGCACGTAAAGTATTGTACAAAATGGTAAACGTCTCTTTACATTTAACATTTCTTTACTTTTAAAGGCAGTTTTTGTTTATCTGCGTCTTTTCTAAAAAAAAATCACATAAATGAATTTTGCTTTGTAATCCTTAGAAAATATTGTTTTATCTTTGTATTAAGGCACGTTTAATAACGAGGGCTCGTCGACGCCTCTCATTGAATAGGCCCCTACATAATTTAATAACCAAACTAATTGAAAAGCCTTAGTATAAAATAATAATAATTTAATTTAAGCTAGAATCCTACTATTACACTTTTTTCATATTAAGAATGTACATTTGATATACTGTGCATTGTTGTATTGCGAAAAGTTGTATAATAAATGATGATGATATAAAAACACACGCACAAATTAAGCGTTACTCATAGGGTTGGTGACAAGAGTTTTCCACTCTCTTTTAACAGGGCCCAGGGCAATAACACAGCCCATACATGAAGGTGTATCGATTATTATTTTTAAACTACAAATTGTCTTGGGCTAAAATGTAGATAACTGGATAAAGTTAAATGTTACTATTTTTGTTTCTTTTTGTTGAGGGTTTTTAGACGTTGGTGTGTTGTTTGGTGGTCTGTCGGTACAAGATTACTTTTTCCTGTTTTACCATCCTAATGAAACTGGAGCATAAGTAAACAGACTACTGCTCCCTCGGGCACAATGATCTCAACGCAATAAAATGCCTACAGTAGGCTGACCAGGGAGTGGCGCTGTTTAAATATAATGAATGGCGGAGCGTCTCAATGCGGTCCAACCTGAACTTTTATCACTTAAGCCTACTCTCAGCTCTATATGACACAGGTTGTTTTAAAGTTAGGATAGTTAGTTTAAGACATCATATTTGTTAATAAAATATCTACCAGGTAATGATTGAAACACGTTACTGCATGTTTTAAATAAACATGTTTGTAATGTACGTGTGAATGGAATTAATAGGCAGATTTACAGTCATACTACCAGTGTTGTGGTAGTGGCAGGCCAGGCTCCATTTTAAAGGATGAGGTTAAAATACTGCAGCTTACCAACATTAAGAAGAGCTGCCACAAAAGTCAGTTTACTGCCAAGCATGCTGTTTGCTGTAATATTATACTGTTGGTGTTATCTTTGGTGATCTTGTAAAACCATGCACTCTTCAACTTTTATTATAGTTTTCTGTTGGCAGATTTGGCAGACGTATAATAGAATAAATAAGTATTTTAAAGTATTCAAGATTTTTTTTAAGAAAAAATATTTTTATTATGATGCATATACAGTATTTTGTTTTATGTTTATCTGCCTATTCCCACAGTTTTGTTTTGTTTTTTGCCTGTGTTATTGTTTCTGACAGTATAATTATTGTCGTAGGCTTTTAGATGTTGCGAAGATTTAGCTTATTGTCCATGACTAACCGACAGTTTTATGCCTAAATTTACACTAAACGTTTTTGTTGGGATGTTAAAAACCCTGAAGGTTGAGTTTTGTTTCTAGGATCACTGTACACCAAATCCCATGCTATTTTCTGAAACACATTATGGAATCATTGTCCTCCTGGTAGCACTGATAGCTCAGTATACTTCTGCAGTTCATGTGATTTATTGTGCTTTGAACCTATGCCAACAACCTTTCAGTCTCAGAGCAAGAGCAAGTCAACCACATGTGCACGCCAACAGTGAGAACTAAAGTAAACAGCACAACCTGAAAGGTCACTGTAAGTATGAAAGGTAGTCAGTGTGGTATGGAGGAATGAGTGGCAGCTTCAGTATCAGTGTGGTTTATTTGTTGCTGTTGTTTTTTGTTTGTTTTGACATCTTAACTGCAGGGTTTTATAAAAAATACCGTCATTTATGCATCTTTCACTGTTTTCTTTTTCAGGGCTACATAAAGAGACAAAAGAAATCCATATCCGTGGTCAATCTGGAGTGAATTAGAATAGAGTTAGATTAGAATTTGAATATTTTTGGACTGTGGGAGGAAATCAGAAACCACAAGAAAACCAACCTACAAACTAATACATCAGTTACTGCCGGGAATGGAACAGATTATTTTCTTGCTGTCAGGCATAAGTGCCAACTATGTTAGCCACCATTTAGTCTGATGAAAGTAACCTTCTTTTTTTGTTTGTTTGTTTATCTTTTTTGGTTGCATTTAATATATTTTGGCAGCTTCATTCTAATTTTGCTTTTTTTGTGCACTTATGTCTACTACGCAGTTGACAAGTTAACAAGTTGTTTGTTGTTTTTGTTGTTTTCTTTTTGTTAACTGTAATCTGTTGTTAGCTGATATTTTACATTGTTTTCATGCCCTCTGCTCATGGCAATGCTTGGTAATTTCCTCAGAATTTTGCTTTCATCTAGCCAGCTTCTCAGGAATTGACTGTTTCTTTGACTCATCTGCCTAGCAACCAGTGTTTATGTGCCTGGCTCTTAGTGGTTGTTCTGTTTTCTAGTTTTTCCTTGAGGCACCTGACTCCAGTGAATAGCAATAGCTGAATGGTTTGGTCAGAAATCTTTAGATAGAGATATGAAATGAAGTCTATTTACAAATACAATGATTACACTTTTTAAAAGTCAATGTTATTGTTTACCTGATTGCAGTGTGAAATGTTACAAAAGTAACAGCAGGTTTTTTGGGGGGGAGGTTTTTCTATTATTGAACTTAACCCATCTCATAAATAATCTGGAACACTCTACTGAGTCGAGGCTGCTGAATCGCTTCAGTAAAAAGTGCAGCCATTGTTGTCTCTTTGCATCTATGACGTATTAGTGGATAGGATGTTTGTTTTCAACATGAGTCCCTGACTCAATGCAAGATGTTCCATCCCTTTGCTACATCAGGATGTACAACAGGATACATCAGAATACAATAGAGCTGGAAACTCCTCAGGCAAAGCTTTCTAAAAAAGGAACTTAAATGTAAATCACAGTTGCTGTTTCCTGAAATTTCTTTCTCTGCTCTGTAGCTAACATGTTGTCAGCTAACCCCTGTAAATGGAAACAGTTGTAAACATTGTCACAGTATGCTTCATCCAACAGAGAGTGCGGGTGGAGTCTGTCATGCTTTTGCAAAAGTAACTTTTTGGCATTTTTATAGTTGTTTTTTGGCGTAGGTATACAGCCCCATATACAAACAGGTCTCCTTTGCAGTTATTCACTTGCCTCTCTGACCAGAGGTCCCAATTGTTATTGTTATAATCATTTTCTGCATGTAAAACATGCACTTTGACTAAAAATAAACCCTAAACATGAAAATGTCCTAAACACACATCTAAACACTGTGGACAGGCAAAATAGCAGTCAAATCAGATACAAATGCACACCTGCTGCTTAGTCACAAACATAGTGTTTGAAATGAGATCAGCATCAAGTTGCAACAACGCAACATTGATGTGGACTCCAAATACAGGTAATACCGAGGCATATTTATGGATAAACATTGGAAATAAAAAGAGGAATTCAAGTAAACAGAATGACTAATAACTAACTTGAAATAAGTCCACAAATGTATCAACTTTTCTTAAGTCGAAAGTCAAAGTCAGCTGTACTGTCAATTGTGCCATAGGAACAGGACATGTAGTACAGACGATATAAAGTATTTGTTTTATTGATGATAATAATATTAGACATACTGTATACCAAGTATATGACAAAGTGATGATAATGGAAATATATTATCACTAATAAATAATAATTGTAGTAATAATTTGCTAAATGTAATTTGTGGAACAAACATAACACTTTTCTGAGGAATTTCCATGGAAATGATCAAAAACATAGAAAAGTCCTGGTTAATATCTCCTCTCTATTAACACAAACTGGAACCATGTCTCACTCTGCTACAACTGTATATCCAAACATTTCCCACTGACAGGAGCCTGTTGCTTATACTGTTGTGGTTTTGTCCCACCCATGTGCTAATGTCTGCTCCTCTCTTCACTGCAGGGGTTATGTTATCAACACCTCAGCTTTCTCTGAAACAAAACTTCCATTAGTGAGACCAGCGATGGAGGCTGAAACAACTAGGTCTTCCCCAACAGACTCAAATACTGTAGGAATACATTCAGTTGTGGAATTCGTCACGGACTCTCCAAGGTACAAATATAGAGAAGCTTGCCTTTTTTCCCCTCTGCTGTTCAGGCGCTCTCTTACTGTCTTACTGTAAAATCACAACTAATTCAAAGAAGTTTTTTTTTTTTTACCAATTTTTTACAATCTGTGCTTAGTCACAGGAGTACTTGACTTCAGGCTGATTACAGTCAAACCCTGTGAGACATGTAGGTGTGCACATTAGTCATCATTATTGTTCCTTGTCATCGTCTCTCCAGGACAGACTGATGTCACCTTCCTGAGAGCTGTGAAGACTTCCTCTGGCTTTGACAGACAATATCTCCACTAAAAGCTTTTGCAGGTGCAGTTCTTTCCTCTCTCTTTGTTCTCACACCTCTTCCTACATTTTTCTTAACATCAAAACACAGCCCGACTGTAGCCCTCATTCAAAACCCATCTGACCTACTGTAATATCAAAAGCGGTCACTCGTGTTGAGCCTATCGACTATTGAAAGAGTCTGTAGGTCAGAGGTCCCCAACCCTTTTGACCTGTGACACCACCCCAGAGAGTTTTTAAGTAGCTGTCACGCGTCATGTGATCGCAGCCGTCATCAAGGTGCACCAGCTCAGAACAGTTAGGAAAGGAAAAAGATACAGTTGTTAAAGATTGTGTGTGGTGATTTTAATCATAATATTAAAATAAAAAATATCTAAAATATTTATAACAGGGATTCCTTTTAATAAATTCCTAGACATTTCTGGT